ATATATATATATATATATATATATATATATATATGTGCAGGTTTCTATCAACTGGTGCGGAGACACCGCGCGGAGGATTGAATTTGAAGAGGCATTAAACACCAACAGACGGAACGCAGTCAGCTGACCGGCAGGAGACTCTTGTTTCGTTGTCTCTGTCTCTGTCTCTGTCTCTGTCTCTTTTTGTCTCTCATTTGTTGTCTCCGTCTTGCGTTGCTGGCTCTGTCTCCGTCTCTGCCTTTGTTCTATTTGTTGTATTTGTGTCCCTTTCTCTGTTAGTGGTTGCTGTGATGGTTCTGGCTGTCTCCCTTCTCTTTTTCTGTATCTGTCTCCATTCTCTTCCGTTTACGCGTGCCTTATAGTGATTCTTTTGTGTCTCTTTTTCTTTGCCTCTTCTCGCCCCCCCTCCCCCGTATCTTGGAACGTCTTTATGTCTCCTTACGACTGCTGTCTCTGCTGCTGTCTCTGTTGCTGTCTCCGCCGCTATCTCTCCTGCTCTCCCTGCTGCTGTCTTTTAGGGTTTAGGGTTTTTTAGGGTTTTGTGGTTCTCTGCATGCAGCTGCGTCTCGCACTGTTGCTGCTGCCTGATGCCGTGAGCCTGGAGTGTCTCCTCAGGGAGATCGTCTCCCTTTCCTACAGAGGTGACAAGCCCCACAAAAAGCCGCTCTATGCACCTTGTGTCTTAGCTGCATGCAGGGGGCCCCTCAGGGGCCCTGCAAGAGACTCTTGGGGGCCCCATGAGACCTTCGGAGACGCTGCGGGGCCCTAGGGGACCCTCATGGGCCTTAGGAGACTCTGCTAGTGCTTGCTTATGTTTGTTTGTTTGCCTCTTTGGGTGTTAAGGAGACTGTGATGATGTTTCTGCTTGTTAGTATTTATTTTGGTGTGTTAATATTTATTTTTTTTGTTAATATATATTTAGTTTTGTTTGTGTGTGTATATATACAGGAGACTTCAGGGTCCTCTTCGCTGAGGACCCAAACAAAGCGCAGGCCATTGTAGGTGAAGAGACAAAGAGAGACCCCACACACAAACACAAGGAGACACCCCACACAAACACAAGGAGACACCCCACACAAACACAAGGAGACACCCCACACAGAACAAAGAGATACCTGAATAGACAACGAAAAGCCTCAAGAGGCAAAGAGACACCCCAATACACAAACAGACACCCCAGCTGACGAGCAAAGGCCTTCGAGGGACATCTTAAAGGCGGCACACGGGGGGGCCCCTTGATGCGCCACTGAGGGGCGGGGGGCCCCTGAGGTTCCCCCACGGGCCCCTGAGGGGCTCCCGAGAGTCCCCTGCGGAGCTTTCTCGGGGCCCCCGAGGGCCCCATGATGAGCACCTGAGGGGTATTTCAGGGACACATGGGGGCCGTTTCAGGTTCTTCCTTATGAAGGCTCTCGGGGGGCCCTTGGGGGGCCCTTGGGGGGCCCTTGGGGGGCCCGTGGGGGGCCCTTGAGGTTAAAGGGTGTGTACTGACATCCAGTGTCTCTTTTTGTTTAGGTGAATGGCCAGGGGGCCGATCTGTGCTCCATCTACCTCCCGCTGTTGTCGGAGATCCCTTCTGTGCATTTGGAAGTGGAGGGGGGCCCCCTGGGTACTCAGGGGCCCCCCGTTGCTCCTGGGGGGCCCCCGCTGCTCCAGAAAGCCTTCAGCAACACGCATGCAAAGCGGGGCCCCCAAAACAGAAGAGACAAATTTTGCCCTGTAGAATTTGGACTCAGCCGTATTTTAGTCCGGGTAAGGACTCGACTGATGAGACCCAAGATATTGGTTTCCAGCCAGCGCTGAGGGTTAGGCTTTAGGGTTTAGGGTTTAGGGTTTAGGGTTTATGGTGTGGTTGGGTTTTTCTGTGCAGCAAGACAGGTCACCTGCTGCTCTCTCTGCTCTGTATGACCCCCTTCCTCTGTCTCTCCGTTGGAGGGCAGAATACGGTAAGAACACACGCCAAACCCTAAACCCTAAACCCTAAACCCTAACATACAATGGTGGGTGTAGTTCTCCTTTCTCAACCTTGAATAAAGGCCCCAAGTGTGTTCGCATGCAGTTTCTCGTCGTCCGCTTGGCAGCGTCTCGGGTTTCTTCTGCGGTGCCTTAGAGGGGCCCCCAGGGGCCCCTAGTAGTACAGCGGGAGGGGGCCCCCCTGCTGGGCCCCCACCTGTAAGGGCCTTGCGGCTGGGGCTGCAGCAGTTGGTGTTTGGCCCCACTCTGAAGTGCAGCCTCAAGAACGCTGTCTCCGCTGGCTTTGGAGCTTCGGTGAGATACCTGGAGGCCCTTTTGGGGCTTTTGCACATGCATGCAAGCAGGCAGCTGTGCATACACATACAGACACATGTGCGTGCATGCATAGATGCATGCATGCATCTGAGCATCCATGCATACATGCATGAGAATGCAAGCAACACAGGCTCTTTTTACATGCACTCTGCTGCTGTCCCCTTCAGGTGCTGTATAGCCTGCACAAGCTGGGTAAACGTTTGGGGCTGCGCTAATGGTGTCTCCTCCTGTTCTCCGGGTTAGTCGCAGCAAAGTGAATTATATTTTCAGTGTCTAGACACCTGACTGCAACAAACTGAACTATGTTCTCAGTGTCTATACACCTGATTTGTTTACATGCAATTCAACCTCTGCTGCTGCATCGCCCTGCAATACTGAGGACACAGGTACTTTTGCTCTACTGAATTTCTCCCCATCAACAAACTGACAGCATGCATGCATGCATGCGTGCGTCCATGCATGCGTGCATGCTCACATGCATGCATGCATGTGTGCATGCATTTTGGGGGGCTGCACGATGGCCAACTGGAACACGCTGGCTTTGTAGCAAAGAGTTGAGGTGTCTGTACAGCTGATAAAGAATAGAGTTGAAGCGGCTGCACAGCTAAGGCCAGTGCATGCAATAGTATATTATATATAATATAATATATATTATATTATAGTATAGTATATAATAGCCAATGGCTGCTGCCGTCCTCGCATGCAGGCCAGGCGCCAATTGGCGGATTGTCTTGATATATTAATGAAGCTAAAAAGCCCCAACAGAAACATATTCAACAAGAGCCTGTCCCCTCATGCATGCAGCTACAGATACGCGTAGAGACAAATAGTATAGAGTGCTCGCTGTCTGTGCATGCAATATATTAGCTGTCCTGGTTGGAGACACAACCAGGTGTATAGGGAGATCAAGACAGTCTCATCTGCTTGCATTTGAACTGCAGAAGCATTCGCGGGCTTCCCAGCATATACAGCATGCATGCATGCATGCATGCCTGCATGCATGCGCGCATGCAGAGGCCTCAAAAGCCCCAAACACTTCACGCCAAATTCACCACCTCCACGGTGTGCACCTCCGTTTCGGGTGACTGCAAGGCCTGGCAGGAGTTGCTGTTGTCGTAGCTGCTGGCATTGCTGCTGCTGTTGTTGTTGCTGCTGCTGTTGTTGTTGCTGCTGCTGCTGCTCTGCTCCTCTCCCTCTGGGGGTTCTTTGGTTGGGAGCCCGGTTGGTGATTGTCTTGGGGGTGTGGTGCCAGGGGCACCAGCGGTGGCTTTGTCGTTTGCTGCTGCTGCTGCTGACATGCGTCTCCTGAGGTGTATCTCCAGCACGCTAACCAGCACAGTACCTGCAGCGCCGGATAGAGGGGCCACGATGAAGGCAATAAGATAAGGTAGAGTGGAGATATCATCTGGTACAAAGAAGGAGAAGGAGAAGTGTTTATCTTGTGCTTTTGCAGCTCCGAGTGCACATAACAACAACCCCACCACTGATGATAAAAGTCCCCCAATGAAGCCCCATGAGGTAACTCTGGGGTGTACAGACAGCAGAAAGGGACCAGAAAGAATAGCACAAAAGAAGTTTGCAGCCATAAACAGGGTCATCAGAGACACCTGATATACAGCAATTGCAATAGCAGGAATATTAAGAAGAAGCATAGCTAGACGGGCCCAGTTGAATGAACTCCCCCTTTTTTCTAGTTCTCTCCCCATGATAGAGACAGCAGCAACTTGGTATGTATCTACACTGGAGGTAACGCATGCAATAGCAAGAACACATAATACAGCAGTCAATCCTTGGTGTAGATGTTCAGCAGCAAAAGAAAATAAAGAACCCCCATCTTCTACCTGCTGCAGAGAGAGACAGGCCTTGCCAGCAGCACCAAATAACAATACTGATGCACCAGCTAACCCTGCTGCTAGCAGCAAACCTAAATGCATATCCCGCCGAGAGCGGCTAGCTAGGAGACGCTGCCATATACCCTGATCACAGAGAAACGCGGGCCATATAGACAACACAAGTACTGCGCCCGCAATGAGAGAAGCAGTGGTCCCAGGTGTCTCCTCAGCAAGTGTCTCCTCGGAGACACCAATGGAGACAGCATCAGCAGGGACAGCAAAACAAAGAAGATATACAGTTAAAGGAATAAATAAGGCTACTATCAACAATGCCTGAGCCACGTCACTTATTATGCTGCATTTGACTCCCCCTATACCCACATACACAAGAGGGACTACTGCAACAAAGAGAACAGCACAAGGAAGAGAAAATCTATGGTCTGATAGAGCAGCCATAGATAACCCCACAGTAGTTAACTCTGAGCATAGATTCAAAAACATCATACATAAGGAGACAGCTGCGGAGACACCCCGAGCAACGCGCCCAAAGCGGTCTCCTAGGTAATCACAACTACAAAAGGCCCCCCCTTTATTCACTCCACTACATACACGCGGTGCAAACAATAAAAGCAGCAGATAAGGGAGACAGCTGCTGAGAGCGTAGCCCCCCACCCCCGCCCAGCCGTATAAAGCCCCCACTAGGGCTGGTTGATATAACACCCAGTTCCCCATAAAAGATGCATATAGAGAAAGACCCAGGGGCCCCCACCCCACCTCCTCTCTTGCACTCAAAAACCAAGGGCCCGGAGATAACAAACCACGGAGAGATACATGACGGGCCCCATAAAACACAAATAAACCAAAACCAAACAAACTAAAGAAAAACAAAAAATATGCAACACCCAGCGACAACGACGCCATCGCTGATATAAATACACACAATCACACACACGAAACAATACACCTGGGGGCAGGGGGGCCGATGGTACCCTTAGAGACAGGGGGGGCCCTAGGGGGCCCCCTCAAACCCAGGCCCAGAGGAGTCCTCAAGCCAAAAGACAAGAGAAAGCAGCTGAAAGGGGCATTGAACGCCCCAAATGTAGCAAATCAGGGCCTCAGTAAATGTTTATAGAAAAGAAAAAGAAAGAATAGGAAGAAGGAGAGAAGGTGTGGGGCCCCCGGATGAGGCCCCTTGGTCTACTGCGTCAACTAGCGGGCCGCCTTGAGACCCCTACGAAGCTGAATGCAAACAAAATAAAATGACAAGACAACTATATGAAAAAATCTACAATACGAACAAAAAACAAAGAAACAAATGCATTGATACAGCCCAGTGCACTCACGCCCCACGACCAACGGTTTGGGGCCCCAGCACGCGAGGGAGCTAGCTAGCTGTGGGGCCCCAGCAAAGCAGGGGCCCCGAGGGAGCTGTCAGTATCTTTTTCTTCTCTTCTATCATTTAATAAAATAAATAACAGAAATAAACAAAAAAAAAGAATAATGAAGCGCATACAGTCATACACAAAACGAATGCAAACAGCCACCAACCACGTAGCAGGGTATGATGACACGCAGTGACACCCGAAGGCAGAAGAAGCAAAGCAAAAGTGCATGCATCCATTATTTATATACAAATAAATAAAATATATGTAGATATATCGACGATAATATATATTATACATATATGCATTCTCACAAGCTTATTTATATACTCGTCTGTGTGTGGTGTATGCGCAGTACTACTGGAGGCTGAAACTGGGCGTCGAGCTGCCGCGTTAATTGATTCTTTAATTCATAATTTGTTTATTATATAAATAAACAATATAATGATTATCTTTTTGAGTGTCTTTTGGCTCTGTTGCAACTCCTGATGCCGCGTAGACTAAGACCCAGGGGGCTCCCTCTCACCCCTAACACCACTGGCAGCTGCCATGGCTAGCTGGAGCCCCTCTACCTAGCGCTAGCTGCGGATACCTTTACTAAGCCATTCAACGCGGTAGCTAGCTGCAGCTAGCCGTTGCTATGTTTAGCTAGCTGTAGCTAGCTACGAATAGCTGTATCTAACTGTAACCTTCTAGTGCACAGCAGTGCAGCATTGAACGGGAAGAACGCATCATGTCTTTGTATATATATATATTATATATATATATATATGTACATCTATATATAGCTACGGACTAACCCGCTACGCTGTATGCATGCATACGGTGTATGTACGTGTACACCTGAAGACGTAAGTCTCCATTTATGAAGATAAAAAATGTACATACATATACATATTTGTATTTATATATATATATATATATATATATATATATATATATATATATATATATATATATATATATATATGTATGTATATATATATATATTTTGTGGATGCTCACCCCACCCTGTTAGTTTACGAGGTGTCTTGACAAAGACAAGCCAGTATACAGAGTATTCACAGACACAAAGACGCCCAGGTATGCACTGAGGCTAGATGACAACCCGCATGCATGCATGCACTGCATGCATGCATGCATGCACACAGCCCCACAGTTCCCGCTGTCTGCTTTTGGGGCTTTAGAATGACAAATTCTTGAACTTTTTACTCCGCTGTGTTGGGTGAGAAACGGCAGCGTCTGTTTGTTGTTGGGGGTCGGTGGAGGCCTTTGTCTTCTTGCGGATTGATATAGACCCTGAAGGAGACAGAGACAAAATGATGGTGCATATATCCTGTTTATGTTTGTGCTTGTGTCTCTGCCTTATCGTTTATGGCCCTGTCTCTTCCTGTCTACGCTGGTGTCTCTCTCTGTCTCCTCTCTATATGTCTCTATGTTCCCTTCTCTCTATATTTATGTTTCTCTGTCTCCTCCTGTCTATACTTATGTCTCTCTGTCTCCTCCTGTCTATACTTATGTCTCTCTGTCTCCTCCTGTCTATACTTATGTCTCTCTGTCTCCTCCTGCAGGCACTTGAGGACCTCACCAGACACCTCGCGTCCCTTCGTAGCCCCAGCGATATCTTCCTCAGTGAAGTGGCTGACCCCATACTTCTGCAGCATAAGACAAAAAAAAAACACAGAAACAAAGTTCAGCATTTGTTTTATAAATGAATTTGTTTTGTTCTGTTTGTTTATATTTGCTTGTTAGACCGTCAGGTGCATGTACACCTCGTTGCTCCTTTACTCTGTTTGTCCTATATCATGGAACCCTACACACTAAACCCTGGGTTTGTTTTTTAGTTGGATTTGTCTGGGTTTCGCACTCCCTTGTCTGTCCTTGTTTTCTTTCTGTCTCCTTTTATGTGCCAACCCCTCTCCCCCCCCCGTTGTCTGTCTGTCTCTTTATTCTGTCTTTTTAAGATGCCCCCTACTGTCTCTCTGTGTCTGTGACGGTTTGTGTTTGCATGCATGCCCCCTCATATGCATGCAAACGACCACTTTTTCTTCTGTCTCCTCTTTCTCACCTCCACAGCATCTGGCCCCAGGGCCTCCTTGATCTTCTTCAGCTGCAGCGCTTGCTGCTGCAGCACTTCTGCTGCTGCTGCTTGCTGTTCCTCCCCTAGGGGCCCCTGGGGGCCCCCTAACCCCACAGCCACCCCTTGTTTAACTGCCACTCTCCGCGTTGACGCCTTTGTGAAATTCTCTGCTTCTTCAGCCACAAGCAAACCCTAAATACACACAAACAAACATAAATGCATGCTTGAGAAACCCTAAACACATACACACGATGGAGTTCTTCGACAGGAAGAAACCCTAAACCCTAAACCCTAAACCCTAAGTCTTACATGCAGGTGCTGGTGCAGCTTCACAACCGCTTTGTTAAACAAAGCCAAAATTTGGTGTACAGGCACCCGAAACTCCTCCGCAAGTTCATCCGCTGTACACACGCACATACGCACCCTAGGGTTTAGGGTTTAGGGTTTAGGGTTTAGGGTTTTCCGCCTTTCTTCTACTTCTCAAGGCCTCCTACTGGTCTTTGCATGCATGTATGCACCCATGCGTGCACACGAAGTTGAGGATGCAAACTACGCCTAATTGCTGTGAGTGTAGTTATGAGCTGTGGGGGGCCCTATTCAACCCTCATGGTGGCCCCGATTGCCCCCGCAGGGGGGCCCCCTAAACCCCCGCAGGGGCCCCCCTTGTGCCCCGTGGGCCCTGTGGGGTGTCTGTGGATACAGGATTGAGGTGTGTTGCTTACGCGGTCTCCTTTGTCCCCCTAGTCCTAGCAACGTGGCTGCTTGTAGGAAGGAGAGGTGTAGATGTTTAAGTCTTTGGGTAAAGTAAAGAAGGCAGAGCTCAGGTATTAAGTCTGTTATAAGGGGGAGGTCTGCTAGCTGTTGTGCATATTGATGGAGACGGCTTAAATCATGAAGAGTAAAGAAATTCAATAGCTACACACATACATAAATACACACAAACACAATAACAATAATAATATAATACTACTATAACAACCCCACCAATACGCTAACACACAATCATAAGCAAAAATATAATACAATTATAACAACCCCACCAACACTCTAACCGAGCATCACAACAACCCCACCAAGACCCAAGCATAAAGTACAACAACCCCACCCTGCCTCTAATATACAAAAGTACAACAACCCCACCCCAGCTCTAACACACATGTACAACAACTCCACCCGGACACGAACACGCAAGCACAGCAACCTCACTGTGCCTCCAACACAGACAAAAAAAGTACAACAACCCCACCCCGTCTCTAACACACAGTCCTCCCCCCGCAGGAGCTGTACTACCCCCGCTCCCCATAACAAGTAACAGACAAAGAGGTTTTGGTTCGCTTGTTAGCTGCATGCACGGCAGCAGTTTTTCTTTCTTCTGTCTCGACCCCTTCCCTGCCTCTCTGCTGTCTCTCTCTCTGTCTCCGCCTCTGTTCTAGATGTCCTGTCCCTCTCTGTCGTTGCAGCAGCAGTAGCAGCAACAGCAGCAGCAGGACCTCACCTTCTGCGCATCCAGCGGGGGTAGGAAGCCATCTGGGGGCCCCTCAGGGGCCTGGGGGCCCCCCGATGCGATTGCGAGGGCCAAAGAGACAGGGAGACGCCTGAAGGGGCCCCCCAGCAACTGCACGAAGCGACGGCGGAAGTCAGCAGCAAAGAGATGTACCCACTGACCATCTGCTGCTCGTGCTGGCTGCAGCAGACACATACAAATAAAAATAAAACACAGAGATAGTGTCTCCTCTACATTATAAACAACTGTCTCCTCTACAACAGTACCATCTATATTACAAACAACTGCTTCCTCTGTAATACACGAACGAACACAGACGGAGACAGAGACAAAGACGGGAAGAGAGACAGATGCGCAAACCGTAACAGGGACAGATACAGGTAGAGAAAGGATACAAAGGAGACAGCTTGTTCTTTGTATCCTAAAGGAGACAGTTGTTTGCGTTAGACAGGAGACAGTATCTCTGTGTTCGTTTCACTGTCTCTGTCTCTGTCTCTCTCCCTGTCTCTCTTCTCTGTGCTCCCCCCTTCTATCCCCCAGCTGTCCCCTTTTCCCCTCATAGATCTCATCTGTGTCTGTTGCTGCTTTTTGTGTTTCTTACTGTCTCCGCATCTGCATCGATGCCTCCAAAGAGTCCCCTGCGTCTTATCTCTTCCCTTCTTGTTGCCGTCTCCTTCTCCGCTGGCGTTGCAGCAGCAGCAGCAGCAGCAGCAGCAGCANGCAGCAGCAGCAGCAGCAGCAGCAGCAGCACCGCCTCCTCCTCCTCCTTCTGCAGTAGCTCGCAGCATAATACAGCTATGCTCCCCAGTAATATCATTGGGTTGCTGCCTTAAGTATACAGTAACAAAACCTCTTCGCGCCCAGAAGCGTAGCAGCGGCTCCGTCAAGCCAAAGGCCGCCCCCATGTAGTCAATAGAAAAAGGGGGACGGCTGCGAGAGCAGGGGCAGAGGAGAGGGGGAGCAGCAGACTGCTGCTGCAGTTCTTTGTATGTCACCTCCCGTAGAGACAATTCAGCAGCAGCACCGTCTCCTGCTGCTGTTGATGCTGCTGATGCTGCTGGTTGCTTCTTAGAAGCCCCCTTCTCTTTCTTATGCTTCTTCGCTTTTGCTGCTGTCTCCTCTGACTCTTCCTCTCCCTCACTCTCTGTCTCCTCATCTGTCTCCTTTTCTGTCTCCTCTTCAGATGCCCCCGCCTCGGCATCGAGGTCTTCAATATCCGCATCTAAGGTGGATACTCTTTCCTTTCTCTTCTTCTTCCCCTTCCCGTTTTGCTGCTGCTGTTGCTGCTGCTGCTGCTGCTTCTGTTTGGTTTGGGCAAAGGCTGCGAACTCAGGTGGCTCCTGGAGAGACAGTCCCTTCCCCTCAAAGAAATCAATCAGCTGCTGCAGAGCAGCAGACCCAAACCCCATCCGCTGCAGGCTGGGGTGAACGGCAATTCTTACTATCCGCGCCTGAGAGAAAACACAAATCCCTTAGGGTTTAGGGTTTAGGGTTTAGGGTTTTCGGTTTGGGCCTATCTCCACCAACAGAGGCAGCTGTCGTTTCTATTTGCTCTGCTGCTGCAGAGGTGCCGTGAAAAAGCCAAGGGTTTAGGGTTTAGGGTTTAGAGTTTAAGGCGTTGTTTTCAAGGTGTCCTGCTGTTTTGTAGCTGTGGCAAAGAAGACAGATATACAGGGTCTAGGGTTTAGGGTTTTCTCACTCCTGTGAGGAGCCCCACGTCTTCGTCTCCAAATGCCTGGGCCAGCGTCCATGGCAGCAAGTCCCCAGCGGGCCGAAGGCCTCTGCCGAGGGCCTCTCGGATGGCCCCTCGCGACAGAGCCCCTTCAATTGCAACCTATGCATAGCACAAGGGTTTAGGGTTTAGGGTCTAGGGTTTAGGGTTTGGGGATTAGGGTCCAGTATGCGGCAGCACATACAATAAACCCTAAACAATTTACAGCCGAAGTGCAGAGGGAGCCTTGCTACCATTCTGGGGCAGCTGAGGGTTTTAGGGTTTAGGGTTTAGGGTTTAGGGTTTTGTACCTGTATAGCACAATATATATCAGGTAATGTATCTTGTTGATCTTGTATATTTTTAAGAAATACAAAAAGAAGATGTGCGGGCGCATCGGCTAGTAATTGTAGATCGTTTGGTGTATTTTTATAGTGTGAGGAGACAAATAAACCCTGGAGACGATGGAGAAATTCTTCACTAGCTGGATGGTATGAAAATAATGCATCACGATTCACTAGATATAAACTACAACCTGCAGCAGAAGGAAGGCCTTTCTATACACACACACACACACACACACACACACACACACATACACACACATGCACACACAGAGATACAGAGATAGAAACAGAGTTGGATATATATATAATATATAGATATATATGTATATATACCGTAATGAGAGAGGGAGGAGAGGATAGGAAACAAGATATAGGAGAGAAAAAAGAGACACCAAAGGAGACAGGAGAATATACAAGAGCCAAAAACAGAGACACCACATGAGACAAAAGGAAAAAGGCGAGAGGAAATACAGAGAAACAAAGAAGACGAAGAAACCAACAAAAGAGGAGTGGAAGAAAGACACAAAGGAGCCAAATCGGAGACAAGAAAAGAAATAGAGACAACAAAGGAGACAACACAAGAGACACGATAAAAAATACAAAGGGAGACAGCAGGTGAAACAGAAAAGGGACAATAAAAAAATAAGGGGGCACACAAAGGGGGCAAAGACGAGATAAAAGAAGAAGCAGAGAGAGACAGCCAATGAGACAAAGAAGAGACAGAAGAAGAAACAAAAAGAAAGATAAACAAAAAGCAAAATAAGATACCTCTGGGTCTAATGCCGGTGCCTCAGTGCAATCAAGACAGAGAAGGTCATTAAGCCATTGCTCTACTGCGTCTCCAGCAGCATAACGAATGGGAGAAGAAAGAGACAGTTCCTTCAGCTGTCTCCGGGGGCCCCTGTCCCCTCCATCACCAGGGGGCCCCCGACAACCCCGACGAAGATCAGATAACAACTTCAGAGACAGAGAACGCCCTGTCCCCTCATACCCATTCACTGTTGAGGCTAACAACACTGTGTATGGGCCTGCAACACACAACACAAACCCTAAACCCTAAACCCTAATGAGATATTATAAACCCGAATGAAGTATTATATATAAACCTTAATGAACTATTATAAACCCTAATTAACCTGGAGACACTTTCGTAAACCCTAGTAACACATAGTGAAGGCTGATAAACCCTTGGAAAGAGTATTCGGGTGTATACATGTGCAGCATCTTGAACCCCTATAAACCCCAATACACCCTTACACACATCCATAAACCCCAATACACACTAATAAACCCTAAACAATAAACACCAATAAACCCTAAATACTCTGCTCGCACTGTCTATACAGCCTGGGGCAGCACCTCCCCCTCACAGCCCCTCTGCCGAAACGTGCAGCAACGAACCGCAAGTCTTCTAAACCCTAGGGGTTGAGGCCTAAACCCTAAACCCTTGACCCTAAACCCTAAACCCTATACTCCAAAGCTTAAACCGTAGACCCTAGACCCTAGGCCCTCCCCTCTAAGCCGTAAACCCTAAACCACAGACTCGAAACCATAAGCCCCAGACTGTAAACCCTAGAACGCAAGCCCTAAACCCTAGCTTACCTAATAGTTTCTTAACAATGGGAAGGGGTATGCTGGCAGCCTCATCAATAACGAGGAGATCAGCATTGATGAGGGTTTGGTGTTCATGGGGGAAGATGAATTTGATGCGTTGTTTGTGCTGTCTGTACACCTCAATTTGTGTTATTGCTTTAACCTCCTGCCGCTCATACAGACCCGATGAGCCGGCCCCTGATACATCTGCACCCCGGGGGCCCCTCCGCCCCGTCCCGACTGTCTCCACAGACACCTGAAAGTCTATCTGCTCCCGCAGACCCATCGCCACCAGCCCCTGCAGCAGCAGAAGTACCAGCAGCAACAGCAGCAGCAGCAGCAGCAACAGCAGCAGCAGCAGCAATAGCAGCAGCGAAACGCAGCATACATAGACGCAAGGTGTACACCTCAGGGAAAAGCTGTAACAGCCACAGAAACTGAGATGAAGGTACCACACAAATCAAACCCTAAACCCTAAACCCTAAACCCTCGAGGACAACCATAAAAACCCATTCCCACCACTTAAACGGTTGACTGTAGAGACTAAACCCTAAACCCTCTAGTTTAGACCCTAGACCCTAAACCCTAAACCCTTAACCCTATACAACAATTTCAGCCCAAATTTAGGGTTTAGGGTTTTATTATACCTTTTGTACGAACTCGAAGAGGGTTTGTACATTCTCAGCAGACGGCGCGCATACAAAAGTTGAGGATACACCCAAAGCGGCAGCAGCAGCAACAGCGAGTCCCAGCGCAGCAGACTTTCCTCTTCCTCTTGCTGCAGTGAGAGCGACAGTTTGATATGCAGCAGCTACTGCTCCTGCAGTGGTTGTTGCTGCTGCTGTTGTCTGCTGCTGGGAAGAATCCTGCTGCAGTTTGCTGCGGAAGCTGCTGCAGCTGCATAGACAGTCGAGGAAAGCTATAACAGCAGTAGCCTGATCGGGTGTAACGCAGAGCTTAACAAGTGTATCTAGAGGTGGTGCATGTTGAACTTTATCTTGTATCTGCTGCAGCTGTTGCTGCTGCTGCTGATGCAGTTGCTGCTGCTGCTGCAGCAGCACAGGATCTGCTGCTGCCTCCATCGTCTGTGTCCCGTTGATAGGAAGTATATTAAGCTCATCATCAACAACAAGACAACGACGGCAGCGTACTAGCGACAACAACAACCTTGGATTGAATCGATTATATACAGAAGAAAATGCTTCTGTTTTATATTTCGAGTGTATATCCATTGCTAGGGTGTATAACTGCTGCAGAGATTCAACTGTCTGCAGCAGGAGACAGATGAGACCCCCCCCACGAACTGTCTCTATAACACGACATAAGAGATTAGGGGTTAGGGCCTCATAGTCTTGTATTATACACATATCATATGTTTTTCCTACTGCATGTTGACTGTCTTTATAGTGAAGATAACGTATATCTGTGCTGCATACAAACAACTCAAATGGATCATCTGTATTTGGATTATATAAACCCTTTTGTATTTTATTTTTTAATTGTTTTTGTCTTTTTTTACGATGAGAAGAAAACCCTAATTCCTTTTTATAACACCATAACACTGAGGGTTTAGTATGAGGGCCCAGGGAACTTAATATATAATGTAAGTTAGGTAGTTGTTCTCTGCTTCTATCACCAACAACAACTAGTAAACAACGCTCATACAATGATATACTACTCTTTATACAATCACGAAGACGTCTATCCACCTTCTTCTTCATCCTGAATCACACACAAACCACAAACCCTAAACCCTAAACCCTAAACCCTAAACTGGGTGAGATGTTTAAATTTTAGGGAAAGGCAGAATGATGCGAGGACAGCCGATTCAAATAGCAGGCAGAAACAACAAGCAAAAGAGATTGTTTAGAGCAAACAGAGGGTTTATGGTAGGCGGTTTAGGGTTTAGGGTTTAGGGGGTTGAGACGAGGGTGCCTAGGGACGAGGGTTTAGTGAAGAAGGGTTAGCAGCAAGGGTTTAAGGGCGATGCTTTAGACGAGAGGATAGGATCTAGGGTTTAGGGTTTAGGGTCTAGGGTTTAGAGGTGCAGGACACACTTCGGTAACAACTGAAGACTCGCGGTGATAGATTAAACCCTAAACCCTAAACCGTAGAAAAATGACATCCGTCGGCTAGGCCCTGAGGCCTTCCAGCGGCCAACCGTAAACCCTAAACCCTAAACCCTAAATCCTCAATGCTAAACCCTAGATCCTCGCCCCCTATGCCGACGGCGGCGACGATAACCCGCTGCCCAAACCCTAAACCCTAAACCCTATACCCTCGAGGCAGGTCGATGCAGACAGAAGCTCAAACTAGTTACAGAATAAAAACAGAAAAACTAAACAAGAGAAGCAAATACAAAGAAATTATCTCCCCGAATTTGCTGTGGGGCAAACATCTTCCGCAAGGGGCCCCA